TCGACACCCTTTTCCTTGAAGGAGGCTTGATATAGTTCCACCAGATGCTTTGGGGTGCGACAAGTACGCGCCCAATGTCCGTTGCCACCACACCTATGGCAACCTCCTTCATGACTTCTAGGAGTGTTCACATGAGCTTTTCCTTTCTGGCGATTGGTATTTTTAAAGCTCGGGCCTGGATTATACCTTGGAACCTGGTTGTGAAACTGGACACCATGGTTCTTGCTTTTCCCTTTCCTCCGACCTTGCTTGTGGCCACGTCCTCGTTTGTAATTATTGCCACGAGAGGATATGGTATTCCTTTCAAGGGAAGCAACATTCACTTCTGGGAACGGTGCTGATCCAGTAGGTCGGGAATTATGGTTTTTCATGAGAAGCTCATTGTTCTGTTCAGCTACCAGGAGCACAGATATCAGCTGGTTGTATTCAGTAAAGCCTCGCACTCTATACTGTTGTTGCAGTACCATGTTAGAGGCGTGGAATGTGCTGAAAGTCTTTTCCAATAACATCTCCTCAGTGATAGTATCCCCACAGAGTTTCATCTGAGAGGTAATTCTGAACAACGCCGAATTGTACTCAGCCACTGATTTGAAATCCTGGATCCTCAGGTGTGTCCAGTCATAGCGAGCTTTTGGAAGAATCACTGTTGTCTGGTGATTGTATCTGCTTCTCAAGGCATTCCAAAGGGCTAGCGGATCTTCAACCGTTAAGTACTCGCTTTTTAGTGCCTCATCAAGATGACGGCGAATAAAAATCATGGCCTTTGCCCGATCTTGAGAGGATGAGCTGCTTTCTTCCTTGATGGTATCTCCAAGATTTGCTGCTTCCAGATGGATCTTGGTATCCAGTACCCATGTAAGGTAATTCTTTCCAGTAATGTCCAGGGCAGCAAAATCAAGCTTTGCCAAGTTTGCCATTTTCTTTTCTGAAAGAAAAATGAGGTGTGTAAGAACTTGCAATAATATGTGTACTGGAGAAAATATATTGTTAGAACTTCTGGTTCTTACAAATTTTTGATCTTCAGGCCAAAATGATAAGTACTCGAAACTTCAGGCTCGAGATTTACACAATTAATGAGAATGGCAATTGTACCGCACCATTCTCATCGAAATAAGTATAGGATGGGTGATTATTCCGCACTACTTTAAACAGCAGGAAAATTTAAATATGTAGAGCAAGGTGGACGATTATACCGCACCACCTAAAATTGCGATAAAATTAAATATGCAAAGCAGGGTGGACGATTTACCGCACCACCTAAAATTGCGATATAAATTAAATATGCAAAGCAGGGTGGACGATTATACCGCACCACCTAAAATTGCGATAAAATTAAATATGTAAAGCAGGGTGGGTGATTATTTCACACCACCTAAAATTGCGATAAAATTAAATATGTAAAGCAGGGTGAGTGATTATTTCACACCACCTAAAATTGCGATAAAATTAAATAACGGGAAAATTTAAATATGCAGGATAGAGCGGGCGATTATACCGCTCCACTTAAAATTTGCAGTAAAATTAGATCTGCAGTCCAAGATAGGCGATAGAACCGCACAATCTTGGATTGCATAAATAATCAGTGGGTTAGTAGTCAATATCTACACCAAAACAAGAAATCAAAGATATAAGTGACTGTTAGTTGGAGAACTAGAAGTAAACATGGTGCAAACAGTTCTTCGCGAGGGTATACCTAGCAATTGAGAGAGAGGAAGAAGAAGAACAGTAAAAACCTTAAAGGAAACATTTTTTTTTCTTTCGGTGAAAGGAAATGAGAAATTATTAGAGAGTCGTGCTGATAACGTGTTATAAATAGGCAAAATTTATAGAGAGATAACCTTTACTCGGTGAAGGAACGAAGCAGTTGCAGAGTAATATACCGACACAAGCTGTTGCAGAGGAAGTAATGTATATTATTGCTATTAGATATATTTCTCTTTTCTTTCTTCTTCTCATTCACTAATCTTTGCACAATTGAAGTGCTCTATTTATAGAGCTACTTCTATAGAAAATTACAAAACATTACTATTTAGCTTATGAGTATATAGTATACACATGTGATACTTCATTATACACATTACTATACACATGTGGGCAAACATACCCATTATTTACAACAGAAAAATAGTTATTGCTCTCTCTCTCTCTCTAAATTCAGCATTTGTCCGTTTCCACGCCCTAAACCCAAAACATTACTCAATGGCGCCCATCGACCCTCACTCGTTCACGGATTCGACTCACCCACTCGCCACCCACATTTCCCTCTCCTTCTTCTTCGACTTCCCCTCCTCCACCATCCACGCCTCCGCCCTCCTCACCCTCCCCGCTCCGTACTCCGGCCCACTTTCCCTCGACGTCCGTGCCCTCACCATCCACTCCGTCATCGACCCCCAAAACCCCTCCGATCCTATCTCTTACGTCATCTCCCCTCCTGACCCAGTCAAGGGCTGCCACCTCTCCTTCACCCTCTCCAACGCCTCCTCCGTCTTGATCCTCTACTCCACCTCCCCCTCCTCCTCCGCCCTCCAGTGGCTCTCCCCTCCCCAGACCTTCAACAAACGGCTGCCGTTTGTCTACACCCAATGCCAGGCCATCCACGCGCGCTCGGTCTTCCCCTGCCAGGACACTCCCGCTGCGCGTGTGCTGTACGCGGCCAAGCTCAATGTCCCCCGCCAGCTCTCCGCCGTCATGTCCGCGCGTCACGTGGACCGCCGCGACCCAATCCCCGGTGAGGGGTCGGCGCTGATCTCTGGCGACGCCTTATGGTGCGCCGACGACAGGGTCGTCGAGGAGTTCGTGATGGAGCAGCCAATCCCGCCGTACCTGTTCGCGTTCGCCGTCGGTGAGCTAGGGTACCGGGAGGTGGGCCCGAGAACTAGGGTTTACTCTGAGGCGGTGCCGGCGGTGCTTGAATCTGCGGCGACGGAGTTTGCGAGCACCGAGGACATGATCAGGCAAGGGGAGGCCTTGTTTGGGCCGTACGAGTGGGAAAGGTTCGATCTCTTGGTGCTGCCGCCGAGCTTTCCGTACGGTGGAATGGAGAATCCGAGAATGACGTTCTTGACGCCGACGGTGCTCAAGGGCGACTCCAGCGGCGCGCAGGTGGTGGCGCACGAACTGGCTCATAGCTGGACTGGGAACTTGATCACCAACAAGACTAATGAGCATTTTTGGTTGAATGAGGTACCAAAATTTACATTCATACAATTCGTTTGGTGGCATTAACTTTTCAGTTCCTGATTATCAATTGGTTCAGATTCTTGTTTTTTGGTCGAAAATTTCAATAGATAGATGCTGTTTGTTTTTGCCTATTTGATTGGTGCTAAGTTCAAAATTGATCAATTTTGTAATCTTGAGATGCTTGTTTTCTTCATTTGACGTAATACTATCTGCCTACAGTGCATTTGAGGCCAGTTTTTAGTTTTGTCTTGTTAAAACCGCAATGTGTGAATCCTTGACGGAGTATTGCCGTATAGGGTTAGGAGAATGTGAAGAATGAATGTCTTACTGATTACGAGCTTCCGGTTGTAGTTGATTATGTTGATCTATGTTATGCGCATACTGTTCTTGGAAACGAGATCAGGGTGTTAATCTTTACTTATTGCTACAGGGTTTCACGACGTATGCTGAGAGGAGAATTGTTGAGGCTGTGCAAGGTGAGGACAGAGCTGCATTGAACATTGGAATTGGCTGGCGGGGTTTGAATAAGGAAATGGAGAGGTTCAAGGATAACTTGGAGGTCACAAAGCTGAAAACCAACCAGGAAGGAGTTGATCCAGATGATGTGTATTCTGAAGTTCCATATGAAAAGGGTTTCCAGTTTCTGTGGCGCATTGAACGTCAGGTATGTTGAAATTGTAACATCTTTTGTTTCTTGGTATTGACCTGTAAAGACGATCTGATTGGCACTTGATTTTTAAAATATAAAGGTTGGAAGGCCTGCATTTGATGAGTTTCTGAAGAAATACATTGCCACCTTCAAGTTCCAATCAATTGATACCGATACATTTCTCGACTTTCTGAAAGCAAACCTACCTGGAATAGAGAAAGAGGTTGACTTAGTGTTGTGGACTGAGGGCACTGGTATCCCTCCTGATGCGTATGAACCGGTTTCTAACATATATGCAAAGATTGTGTCCATGGCAAATGAATTTAAGTTTGGTAGGATGCCAGGGGCGGATGAAGTTGCTGACTGGAGAGGGCAGGAGTGGGAACTCTACTTGGAGAACCTCCCCAAGTCTATTGAACCTTCACAGGTACTGTTGTGTTTCTTCTCTTCTAAGATTTTCATATTACCATGATTTTATAGCGGGCTTCAACACACTTTTTGTAGTTACTTTCTTAGTTTGTTTAAGCTCTGCAATGCTGTGGCAATTCCTAGGTAATCATACTGAGCTTAGTAAGTTTCGCGTTTTCGTGTTCTTTCTGCATTGAAAAGTTAAATTTAAGTACAGATCTTGTTTTCTCAGAACCGAAGATGTTATAATTGTCAATTATTAGAACTCATTTCTGAGTCAGCTTCAGTTCCCATTTTACCGTCGAATATCACCAAACTTTTCATGTTGTCTCATCATGATTTATGTATTTGCAGATTGTAGAGTTGAACTCGCGCTTCAGGCTGTCAGAATCGAGAGATTATGACGTGAAGGTGACATTTCTCCTGCTGGCCATTGCTTCCAAGTGCAAAGACTACTTCGGCGAGGTGGAAAGAACTTTGAAGGAAGTGGGGAGGAAGAAGTACCTTGTCCCCCTCTACAGTGCTCTTGTGGAAGGCAATGGAAAGGAAGAAGAGAAGATTTTGGCGAAACAGGTGTTTGCAGCCGCTCGCGAGACTTATCACCCTATAGCTCAGAGCGTTATCGAGACAATTTTTAACAAGCATTGCTGAAATGGTGTGAGAATGTAGATTACACATGAACACAAAATTCGGAAGCTAATCCTTGATGCCGTTATTGGCTATATGCTAATCTCTGAGATCTGTAGGCTAGACCTGATTTCGTTGAACACACGCATCCTTCTTGATGCTTTTGCTGATATGAATGATCTCGTAAATAAGTAGCTCCTTTTATATCGCATTTGCTGATGCCTGATGATATTTTATGTCTGCGTAAATTCGAAAACACACAGGAACGCTATGCCTGCAAACTCAATTTTACTTGATGCATAACAGGAACGAGAATAACACTTACAACTTCTACGCTCATAGTTACAACCAAAACAATTACCTTAAACAGCGAAATTCCACAACGGAGCTTGGAATCTTGACATTTCTGTTCAACACCTCTTCTAACGCAATTTATCGGTTTGGGAATCATACACAACAGTAAAATCACTTTATGTACAGAGTGCTACAACATTTGTGTTCCTGTAAATGTTTTCGCATCTCGATTCTTCTCAAAAACCTTGAAAAAACCTGTGCGAATAGAATTCGCTGAAGGACAGGCGCTTAACTGCAATAGCGCATCAAATACATCAGAGAATAGCTAAACGTAATGCATAGCCAGTTTGGAACACATACAGAGTCAGGATGCGATCGAGAAAGGACGTATGAAACTGAGGAAGGTAAAACGCCAAACCTGGATTTCGAGACAACAGTTTTGAACACATATCGACGGAGTCAGGATGCAGTCTAGAAAGGATGACTTGGTCAAAAGGAAGGTATGTGGATGACTTGATGGTCTTAAGCACCTGGAAAGTAAAATTTATCAACGATCTGGGCAAGTGTGACTAAAGGGACCTTTTACAATGAAAAGCAGAAGTTAGTACCTGAACATTAGTCCTACCAGGGAAAGGAGGGCGACCATTGAGAAGCTCGAAAAGAATTACACCAATACTCCACATGTCAACCTATGAACTGAACCCGTCAATTTTGACTCATCGTGATTGAAAGGGGAAAATGGCACCAGTTATAGACAAGACCGTACCTTCCCGTCATATCTTTCAAACTGAAGAACTTCAGGCGCCATGTACAATGGGGATCCACAAACTGTCTCGGCATAATCACCTGGATGTAAACTTCTGTACAATGTAGAAAAGAAAAGGTAATAAGGGATGAAACTACCACAGTTGGTTGCTTTGAATCATACTAAACGGGTTAGCGGATGAATTTCCACATAAGGATCTCTCTGCTAGAGTTTACCTCGAGAGACCGAAATCAGCTACCTTTAGCACCACATCATCTTGAGTGCCAGAGAGTAGAATGTTCTAGTACAACAAAATCACAATGTAGGCAATTTTTGAACAAACCAATTCACTACTAAAGATTTGGATGCGAGCGAAAAAATCAACAGAATCGAGTTCAAAAAATACGAATATGAAACTGCATTTTGTTCCCATCTTTCAGTAGACTCTTGTTTTTACCTCTGGTTTCAAGTCTCTATGAATGATGTGGTGCGAATGTAGTATTTCCAACGCCGCCCCTGCAAGCATAACAAGAAATTGATTAGATTTTCAGACCGGAGAATCGAAGCGCTGTGGATCCCCATTACAAATTCACAGGGAACAATGCGAATAAGAAGCTACCGAGCTGCTGCATAAATCTCTTGGCAATATGTTCTTCAACTCTTCCGTGACGCCGAATATACGCAGCCAAATTTCCCCCATCACAGAATTCCAACACCATGAATACACAACCTTCATCCTGCAATAAAGACATAAGCTCAACTTCGTGCAACCAAATTAAACAGTACTTGTAAGTTGCGGTTAACTGCACTTGCAGACAAATTAACGTATCCACAACCAAACCGACCGCATATTGACAAGTGTAAGTTCGCAATATCAATAATATCAACAATATCGACAACATATATATTTGATAGCATGTCCGCGTCAAAATAAGTGCAGTTAACCGTGACGCAGAAAAACTTGAAAACCTGGAAAGAATTGAGGAGGCGGATGATGTTGGGGTGGTTAACGGAGGACAGGAAATTGATCTCGTAATCCAAGCAATTCTTGAGGTGGCGGTTGAGGCGCGAGAGGTGGACCTGCTTGAGAGCCACCACCTGGCCACTTTGGCGGTGCACGGCTTTTGACACGGTGGAAAAAGAGCCCCGTCCCACCTCTGAAATAACAATGTAGTCTCCTTCTCCTTCTCCGTCTTCAGCTGTCTTGAGTCCCTTGCTTTCAGGTTCCATGGATTCTTCGAGCTGAGCTCTCAAGTAACAATTGACAACATGTTATTGCGGTTTTTCTTTTGGGTGGGGGTTGGTCGAAGGTTCCGGACCTCCTAGTGCTTAAATTGTATTAGGAGCAGGAGGGGTGAAAAATGGAATTGGATCCTCTCCTGCCGAAAGGCTCGGGATCCTTTTGACCCATTAACCCAATAACACATATCATTGGATTTTGATCCAACGACTGTAAATAAGAAATTCATCTACAAGTTATAATAATTGTAGCCGTAGGATCAAAATCCAACAGGCCGTGGGTTAGGAAGATCTCAAGCCTTTGCTCAGGAGAGAATCCAATTCCGTGAAAAATAACCTACAAGTCATTTTGGTGTTTACGTAAGCAAAAAATTGGCCGACCGAGTGGTATGTTAGAAAAGGAAAAGGATCTGTTGCCAGATCATTTTCTTGGAGATTCCGTGATCGTGACCGTTCATGATCATGATCATGATCACAGGATCTCCGAGATCCCTAGGAAAAGAATCCGGCAAGGATCATTTTCTGTTAGAAAATTATGGTTAATTTAATAGTTTGACGAGCGGATGGATCAATCGCGTAACAATTTATAAATTTCAGGGTCATTTTTGCCAACTGAAGGATGGCCAGATGGCTCGTTTTAGCCATCTGGCTCTCCAAGATATTAATATTTTAATGAACAGTGCAAGGCCATATTCCTTAGGCCATCTCCAACCGAATGGTTCAGTGGCCAGAAAATTGCCCGAAAACCGTCTCTAACCGAAGGCTAGACCAGAGGGCTCGTGGGCCCCACAGAATCTGAAAGGGCCAAAGGGCTAGCCGGCTGGCCCATTCCAGCCAGCCAACCAACCCCAGGCTGGCCCAAATTTTTTATTAAAGTTGTCGGATATAACCGACAGGAATAAAAGCAATAGTGTCGATTATAACCGACACAAATAATAGGCAAAATTTTGAATACAACAGCTAGCTGACTGCAGCTAGCTGTTGTATATATTTTTTTTAATGAATTTAAACCTTTTTTTCTTCATATAAATACCTAAGTCATTCCTACACCATTTCTCACATAATTTTCATCATTCCATACTATCTCACTTCATTCTATTTCAATTCTTCACATTATATTTTCTTACCTCTTCCAATAATATTTCCTTCATTTTTTTCAATAATTTTCAAATGGGCTCATTTGCAATGAAAGGTAAGGCTTGGACCCGAAAAGAAGATGAAGCTCTCTGCAAGGCTTATAGATGAGTCTTGGAAGATAGTGTGAGGGAGATTTGTCAAACAAGTGAAGGTGTTTGGACTTGTGTGTGAAAAAAATACTTAGAGTACTACGAAGGCACCATTCCACTGAATACCCGAAACCATGAGAGTTGTTCTTCAAAATGGAAGAAGCATCTTCATCCAAGTTTGAATAAATGGCATCAAGCACTGTTAGCATCCGCAAGTAGACATGAAAGTGGCACCAATTAATACGACGAAGTTAGTGTTTTCACAGTTTATTTTAAATGTTTAATTATATTACATTTAATTTCATTAATTAATTTCCTTTAATTTTTGTAATTCTATTTTCTAGGTACGCTAAGCGGAGGAATTGTATATGGAGGGCAGCTCAAAACCCTTTTAGTTTCACGGTTGTTGGGAAATTTGTAAAGCGTGGGTGTTATTTGAAGATCCACCTCAACATAGAGCTCCTATGTCGGTGTTCAGAACTGCATCCTTAGCTACAAATATGGATGAAGATGGATCCCCTACCATTCAACAAACAAGGGTAGAAAATCCGGTTTTCGGGTGAATGTTCCATACCTAGGGCTATGGGATGAAATAAGGAGCAAAGGTTGAAGGAAAAGGGCAAGACAAATGATAATTATGCCACCCAACAGGAAGTGGCGGCTTCATTGCGATTAATGGAGGAGCAAACTGCCATTGAGGCAGAAGAAAGGAACTGTAGGCATGAAGAACGGGCCAAACAAATACAAGAAGAGATGGCTGATAAGAATATGGAAATGAACATTTCGAATTACACTCCAATGAGTAAGGCCTATTTTGATAAAAAAAAATTGAAATTATGACTCGGCGGCAGTTGTTTACCTCTGACTATACTCCTACAATGGTGGATGATGAAGATGATGTTGATTATGGATATTAAATTTAAGTTGTTGTAGTTTTTAAATTTAAGTTAGTGTTGTTTTTAAATTTAATTTGTCGTTTTTAAATTTAAGTTGTAGTTTTTAAATTTAATTTGTCATTTTTAAATTTAAGTTGTTGTTTTTAAATTTAAGTTATTGTAGTTTTTAAATTTAAATAATAAATTATGTTTGGCCATTTGGCCCTATGACCCTCGGTTGGAGATAGAGGCAAATATGACCTTGTACTGTTCATTAAAATATTAATTTCTTGGAGGCCCATAGGGCTAAAACGAGCCATCTGGCCAGCCTTCGGTTACCATCTCCAACTGAAGGCCAAAGGGCCATTGGGCTCGTTTTAGCTCTGTCACAAAAAACCGTCTCCAATCGAGGGTCAAAGGGTCATAGGACTAAATATAATTTATTATTTAAATTTAAAAACTACAACAACTTAGATTTAAAAACAACAACTACTTAAATTTAAAAACTACAACTTATATTTAAAAACTATAACTTAAATTTAAAAACTACAAATTAAATTTAAAAACTACAAATTAAATTCATAAAAAAAATAATTTTGGCCCAAAAAAAAAAAATGAATCCAACGGTAACTAGTCATTGTGTTTCAAATTTTGGCCTACTATTCCTGTCGGATATAACCGATAGGAATAAGTACAATGCTGTTGGATATAATCGATAGGAATAATGAAAATTTTAGCCCGGCCCGAGGCTGCCTGGCTGGATTAGGCCAGTTGGTTGGCCCTTTGGCCTTTTTTTTCATGTGGGGCCCATGAGCTATTTGGACTAGCCCTCAGTTGGAGACGGTTTTCAGACTATTTTCGACCATCTGGCCTTCTGGACCGTTCGGTTAGAGATAACCTTAATTTCTTGGACGGCTAGAGTGATCGTTTTAGCCATCTGGCCCTCTAAGAAATTAATATTTTAATGAATAATGCATAACCATATTTCTTACCATCTCCAACTGAGAGCCAAACATAGTCATGTGAGAAAAAATTGTCTATAACCGAGGGTCATATGGCCAAACATAGTTTATTATTTAAATTTAAAAACTACAACAATTTAAATTTAAAAACTACAACTTAAATTTAAAAACTACAAATAGCTATATGACAAAAAACCTTCTCCAACTGAGGGCCAAAGGGCCATAAGGCCAAACATAATTTATTATTTAAATTTAAAACCTACAACAGCTTAAATTTAAAATCTACAACTTATATTTAAAAACTACAACTAAAACTTAAAAACTACAACAACTTAAATTTAAAGTCTATAATCAACATCATCTTTATCATCCGCCATTGTAGGAATATAGTCGGAGGTAAACAATTACCGCCGGGTCATAATATCTCTCTTTATCCTATCAAAAGAGGCTTTACTCATTGAAATGTAATCCGAAGTGTTCCTTTGCACATTCATATCATCCATCTCTTCTTGTATTTGTTTGACTCGTTTTTCATGACTACAATTCATTTTTTCCACGGCAAAGGCATTTTGCTTTGCTATCTTCCGAGACCCATCTATAAGCCCTGCAGAGAGCTTCATCTTCTTTTTCGGGTCCAATTTCTACATTTCATTGCAGATGAGGCCATTTGAAAATTATTGAAAAAATTGAAGGAAAGATTATTGGAAGAGGTAAGAAAATATAAGAATTGAAATGGTGAAGGAATGACTTAGGTATTTATAGGAAAAAAAAGAGATTTTTTTTAAAAAAAATTTGGCCGAAAAAAATAAATTCAAATCCAACAGTAACTGACGTCAGCTAGCTGCTGCATATGAATGTATAGCCCGGCTCAGGGCCGGCTGGCTGGTTGGGTTGGGCCATCTGGTTGGCCCTTTGACCCTTTTTTGTCTCGTGGGGCCCACGAGCCCTTTGGCCTAACTCTTGGTTGGAGACGATTTTCGACCCTCTGACCCACTGGACCATTCGGTTGGAGATGGCCTAATATTTTAATGAACAATGCATGACCATATTTCTTACCATCTCCAACTGAGGGCCAAAGATAACTCTGTGACAAAAAATCATCTCCAACCGATGGCCAAACATAATTTATTATTTAAATTTAAAAATACAACAACTTAAATTTAAAAACTACAACTAAATTTTAAAAACTACAAATAAAATTTAAAAACTATAACAACTTAAATTTAAAAACTACAACTTATATTTAAAAACTACAACTTAAGTTTAAAAACTACAACAACTTAAATTTAAAGTCCATAATCAACATCATCTTCATCATCCGCTATTGTAGGAGTATAGTCGGAGGTAAACAACTGCCGCCGGGTCATAATTTCCCTCATTTTCCTATTAAAGGAAATTAATTTATGAAATTAAATGTAATATAATTAAATATTTAAAATAAATTGTGAAAACACTTACTTCGTCGTAGTAATTATCGCCACCTTCATGTCTACTTGCGGCTGCTAACAGTGCTTGATGCCATTTATTCAAACTTGATGAAGATATTTCTTCCATCTTGAAGAACAACTCTCGTGGTTTCGGGTATTCGGTGGAGTGGTGCCTTCGTATAACTCATAGTATTTTTTGGACACACGAGTCCAAACACCTTTACTTGTTTGAGAAGTCCCCCTCACATTATCTTTCGAGACCCATCTATAAGCCTTGCAAAGAGCTTCATCTTCTTCCCTACCTTCCATTACAGATGAGGCCATTTGAAAATTATTGAAAAAATTGAAGGAAAGATTATTGGAATAGGTAAGAAAATATGAGAATTGAAATGGTGAAAATTATGTGACAAATAGTGTAGGAATGACTTTGGTATTTATAGGAAAAAAACATTTGGCAAAAAAAAAAAACAAATTCAACTCCAACGGTAACTACCGTTAGCTAGCCTTCGTGTTTGAAATTGTGACTCGGCCCGGGGCTGGCTGGGTTGGGCTAGCCGGTCGGGCCTTTAGCCATTTTTTGTCTTGTGGGGTCCACAAGTCCTTTGACCTAGCCCTCGGTTGGACACGGTTTTTGGGCTATTTTCGATCCTCTGACAATCTGGACCCTTCAGTTGGAGATGGCCTTAGGAGAGCATGACTCTTTGGTTAAAAGGTAAATTTTATTACCAACAAAGTAAATGTACACAAGTAGAGGTTTTTTTTTTGTCAAACAATATATTTTGTTAAATTAGATGTTAGATTAGCTACTAACGAGTTTCAAGTCCACCATCATATAAGGCCATCTCCAACCGATGGCTGGCCAGAGGGCTCGTTTTAACCCTCTAACCCTCCAAGATTCTCTAAGATATTAATATTTTAATGAACAGTACATGGCCATATTTGCTTCTGTCTCCAACCGAGGGCCAGAAGGTCAGATGACTCGTTTTAGCCCTGTTACAAAAAACCGTCTCCAACCGAGGGCCAAAGGGTCATAGGGCCAAACATAATTTATTATTTAAATTATTGAAAAAATATTGAAGGAAGTTATTGAAAAATTGAAAGAAATATTGCAGATGAAGGAAATATTGAAAAATATATTGAAGGAAATATTGAAAAATATGTTGAAGGAAATATTGCAGATGAAGTGAAATTGAAAGAGCTTCACCATATTTATAGAAGTAAAAAAAGGTTTAAATTCAAAAAAAAAAAAAATTGAATACAACGGCTAGCAGTCAGCTAGCCGTTGTATTCAAATTTTTTCAAACTATATGTGTCAGTTATAACCGACACTAATACTAATTAATAAATATCCCAGTAGCCGTTAACTTTAATTCATTATATTCTATACTATTCCTGTCGGTTTTAACCGACTGGAAATCCAACACTTCAAAAAAAAAATTGGCCAGCCCGGGGCTGGCTGGCTGGCTGGAAGTGGCAAGCCCTCCAGCCCTCCAACCCTCCCCGATTCTGTGGGGCCCTCCCAGATTCCAGAGCCCTTTGGCCTAGTCCTCGGTTGGAGACGGTTTTCGGGCTATTTTCGACCCTCTGGACCCTTCGGTTGAAGATGGCCTAAGAACCCAACTCCTTTCTATTATTGTGGTAAATGGCAAGTGGCGTGCACCAGTGGAGGTTAAATTACAAGATAAGTACAATATAAAGAAAGGACCTTCAAAACAAAACAAAACATGGCTCAAAATAGAAAGAAAACAGAGCATAAAAGCAAAAACACAAACCCTAGCAGCTTGCAATCCCCGCTGCCGCTGTAGATCCACCAAAACAGGAGAGATAACAATATTTCTTTTTAAGCTACAGACCAAATTGTCACAAGCTCTAAACCAGGAGGATGCAAAAGTGTAATTAGTCCTTAATATTCTCAACAGGAATTTGTTGTAAACACACGAAAATGTGTCATGCTGTTTCACTTTTTTTTTTTTTTTTTTTTTTTTCACTCGAGCGGAATTCATGATGACATTTTTAGGGTGCAAGTGACTAACTCCCGTAATTATTTGTTGTATTTATTAGATTCGAGCAAATTAGGTTTCTTTTCTTCAGGAAACACTTGTATTCAACATTCTTGTAGTAAAAGCAAGTGCGCTTATGAGCATTAACAACCTACAGAAGTTCCTTCCCTCTTCAGAATGTAGTCCACTGCCTCTTGTACAGTATCTACAACCTACAGAAGGAACAAAAGCGAAGGAACTTCTTACCAGGTCTGCCGGAAACTCAGCATGATTATCTTCCCCCTTGAAAACGCCAGTCCTCGTCAAAATAGAAAACCAAGGATGTCCAGCCTGAGAATCAGGTGCGATGAGTTGTCAATGCACATTCAAATCATTTAACGGTAAAATCTTGTCACCACAAGAAACAAGACAAACAAACCTGCCGAGCACCTTTGACATCAACTGAAGGGTTGTCGCCGATCATATAAAGGGTTTTGAAAGCATGTGACGGAGAGTCTCCAGCAGTTGTAATATCATTATCACAATGAGATGGTTGAAGCTGTGCCAACAGAGTTTCAGTGTTCTTAAATACAAACGGATTTGGCTTCCCAAAAGATACATATTCCAGAGCATCATGGTGAATTCTGCAGCAAAGCCAAACAAAAATCATATTACTACATAGTAGATATCCAGAATAACTCACGAGTAGTTAAAATGTGCATAAGCATGCTTTTTTATACAAGTAGTTCAAGATTTTAAAATCATATTTCAGTTGTGCTTAGTTTCCCAAAACAAATCAATTATCTCTGCTAAACTTTCTTCAATCATCATCAATTTTGATCTTGTATGCATCTCGCACTTGGGGGTGACTACATTTTGTAAACTCTCTCAGTGGATGAACGATTACCGGGCTTCTCAAAAGGGATCAAAGAAGCAATGCTAAGATATCGTATTGGCCATTTATGGGCTCATGTAGTTACAACCAAAGACCGTTGACTAAATATTCGATCAGATGTGCATGACTGAAAAGGTACACCAATTAAGCGTGACAAAACAGCCAGTCTCACCGGTTGAAGATGCTTTCTAGTGCAATTCTGAAGGCACCCATTCCAAGTCGCTCAGAAGGAAATGCAGCCTGTATGTAGGCAGATTATCAGTACAATCCTAATCATCATGTGAAACTTCAAGTTGAGAAAAAAGTAAGTTCGTGATGAAAATAAGAGTGAATGAATTCTACTCTTCCAAAGGTGAGGGAATGGAGCAAATCAACCAAATAGAACCCTTTTATTAGACATGAGGATTCATTAAAAATGTTCATGGGAATAGTCAAGGTTCAATGGGCTTCAGCAAGAGGATGACATACTCAAGAAAAAATAATGGGACAATAGTTAAATAAGGGTTTCCTCTTTCAGTTTATTCTAACGATAAATGGGTCAACGGTGAACCAAACAAATCTCAGGTTGTTTCTATATCTCCATATTCACGGTCCAGCATCTTTAGAGAGGGAAAATCATACTGACCAACCTGATACTCAAGATCATCTGCGGCAAAATATAGAGGTGGTTGATGCCCATTCTCTTGTCCAGGAAGCCCTCCAGATCTTAGAATGTCACAGAGAACCTAAACCAATTCATGAACCAGCTCAGAGCTTTTGCAGGAACACAAATGATCGAGGCCTTCTGGAATAACATGACGGTATTGCAGCTCCCAAAACTTTACTTTCTAGTTCATAATAAGCATGCAAAATTTGGCAATTTATGTGGGAAATGAAACTGCTATGCCAAAAGAAGCTATAATTTGAGATCCTAACGCACAATGATTCCTTAATACTGCATTGTAAGCAGCGAAATGAAGTACCTGAATATCCCTACCCCAATCCACAGGATCGCTGACAACAAAAGCTGCACTAACCCTGTCAGAATAAACATCATATCTCGGCACAGACTCCTTGTGTTGGCTACTACAATCCGATGTCTGCTTAGTTCTCCACATCTTATATTGGGATACGGGATCAATATTCTCGAAGTGCGATGCATACTCATCTAATGAGAGAACCTTTCTGCCACCCAATATAAATTTAGCTATCTGTTACTTATACAAAATCTAGCAACAGAAGGTATGGAATTCAAAACCAGAAGATGCTACAATTAAGAACGGACATACACTGTAAGGTAAAACTTACTTGAAACCATACTCAGACATTACAAGAGCCGGTTCCCCTTTTCCCAGAGCAACAATGAGTTCATTTTCATATCTGAATAAAAAGGATAAAATAGACATAACATAAGAAGATGAAAACAGGTCAATACATTGTTATTCTCTGAACCATAAACAAAGTCATGGCCCTAGTATGTACACAGGAAAACTTGAATTTCTTATTATAACAAAATGAGGAGTAAGGCTCCGTGAAGAGATAGATGCTCTTAAAGGGTGGATGTATAGAACGTTTCAACGAGATAGTGCTTTTTTCAACTCTCTCAAAATGGATATCCAAGTACTAAACAGAGGTATGCGATAGGAAAGGATATGACTATTTGACACGGAGGGACAATTTCACCTATGGGAACAAGCTGAGTGAGCATTACTCAGGAGTTTCATCTTTTGGAGTCGCCGATGGAAAAAGAGTTAGCTATTAGCTTCGATGAGATTTATCTCCAAATTTGGCTATTATTCAGTACCAGCATAAGCAAAATTCGGGAACTTCCAAACCAAAGAATTTCAATTTGGCAGACACGAAATCTCCCCCAAATTTTGTATTCGTCTAAGTTGTCTACCCACTTTCGATCGCTCTAGCTCATCCAACATGTAAAGTAAGAACGATTTCTGTGGCCTTGGTTGCATGATATTTCCTACGATATAACACTGTTACTCAAAGATAGCACAGAAACAAGGAGACCATTGATCAGACTAAGATTTATGCCTAGAAAGATGAAGAAGTGTATGACACATTGAGATTGAATTAAAAAAATCTCTGTAGAAAAAGATTCATGTGAAGCTGATTTATACCTCGTCAACAAATTTTTAAAAGGTGTGTGACCCTGGACAACCTGCACCACCATAACACAGAAAAGAGAGCTATGCCACAGGTTCCATCAGTCAAATTACAGTCACAGAAAATGGGAGACAACACAACGTCGTCCTTATGCTCATAATAATCAAAGAATTAGATCTCAGAATATTACCTGAGAAGGCAGGATGTTAACTCCCAAAATTTCAGTTAACTCAGTTGCTCGTCTTGATTCAGGGACGCCACCTCCTGTTCCAACGAAAACCATTACTCAACCAAATGCAATTCGAACAAAAATCCAATGCAATGACAATGGGGGCAGATACACTTTCCATAGAAATTTATCATGTATACTGTTTCTTCGCAATGCTACACGAAAACAAACCGCTTAGGTGTCTTACCGTTGGTCAAAAACACAAAAGGAACCTTCAAAGTACCTACAAAGAAGCAATAGTTTTATTAAGCTAGTGAGACCATCCTTTCTTTACAATCTAAACTACGAGAAGCGGGATTCAAACTTGCTGCCATGTCCGCTCTAGCCAATGTAGCTGCTACCAAACGAACGGCCACAATAATACAAAACCAAAATTCTCTATTTTTATTTCATATTTCTAAAAAATAAACGAAATTTCTGAATTTAGAGGGAGAAAGATGAAGTTTTTAGTGCACCTGAGTGTCCGTACAGTTTCCTCAAAGCTCGAGGCGACCCTCCCACCGGAGCCCGGCCGCGGAGAATGACCCCGTCGATGTCGAACGCAATCCCAAACGAAGACCTGAAATGCAATCAAACACATGTTTTCAACTATTTTCTATTCCTTTCCTACAGTTTCTCGGCAGCCAAACAGAGGATTTGGATCATTGAATTGGACCAACCGTTCGGGCCGGGATTGTTGATAATTGGACTGAAAGTAGGGACGAAATTGGAAGAAAAATGGTGCTCTGTTTTTGCTCTGAGGAATCCGGAAGACCGCGCGGTATCGCATCGGCGTCATCTCTCCCTCTCTAAGATTTGCTCCGTGCGCTCCGTGGCTAACAGTTTAACGGTAAACGGTCTCGCTTAGGCGCGTAGTACGCAATTGTGATTAGAATTTTCTCCAGAAGATAATTTTTTTTTAATTTTAGTTTTAAAAATAGAATTTTAATGATTTTGCTTAAACAGTCAAAATTCACCACTAGTCAATAGTAGCAAGAAAGTTAGGGCAAAATCGGCATTTTATCTCAGCAAAACAAAAACACTCCCAAGTCCTACCCTCTTCACTCTACCGCCGTTCGCTCATCCTTCTCGCACCTCAGAGAGGGCTGTCGAAAACCCTAAGCGCCATCTCCGACTCAAAATTGAGCAAATCCGTACCGAAAGTTCATAACTTTCATTCAATTCGGAAACCACAGATTGTTCAATTTCCCCCCTTTTTACTATTGATTTTTCTGTTTGTTGGATTCGAAGGAGCCATGCCGCCAAAGGCATCGAAGGCCGACTTGGCGAAGAAGCAGAAGGTGGTGGAGGACAAGACCTTTGGGCTCAAGAACAAGAACAAGAGCAAGAATGTCCAGAAGTACGTCCAGAATCTCCAGCAGTCTGTCCAGCCCAAAGTAGACCCCACCAAGGCTAAGGTCCCACTCCCGCTTTTCGTTATTCGGATCCTTTTTCGTATCTCTGCTGTTTTTTCCCCGTTGGGTTCTGTTTGGATAAGCAGAAAATCAGCTGAGAAAGTAAATTAACGATTTTTATTGGGAATTAGTGTTTGGGTGTGGGTTTTTTTTTTTTTTTTTTTTTTTTTATATCAAAATTTAAAGGGTTTTACAGAAAAAGAAGGAGGAAGAGAAAGCAAAAGAGAAGGAGCTTAATGATTTGTTTAAGATTGCTGTTAGTCAGCCTAAAGTGCCACCTGGTATGTAGTACGTACCCCAACTCTCACATTTTTTTTAAGTTGTTGTTTGGTGGTGGTCGATTATGTTGTGTTTGATAGCGGATTGGTTTTGGTATGCTTGTAATCGAATTGGAAATTTGAATAGGTGTTGATCCAAAGTCTATATTATGCGAGTTTTTCAAGGTTGGACAATGTACCAAGGGATTCAAGTGCAAGTTTTCGCATGACTTGAATGTCCAGAGGAAGGGTGAAAAGATTGATATTTACAGTGATAAACGTGATGATGAAGGTGAGAAGGATGGAATTATCTTGTTTAATATTCTGATGCTAATATATCACATGTGATTTGCTTATTCTTTACTCATTATATTTCAGACACTATGGAGGATTGGGATCAAGCGACGTTGGAAAAGGTTGTGGAGTCAAAGAAGAATGAGTATAACCAGAATAAGCCCACCGAAATTGTATGTCTGTTTTCATATAGTAAATTATTTTTGATTTCTGATATAGAAGCTTTTAGTAAGATATTGGCAGTTGAATGTGTTGCTCTCCATCTGTCTCCAGATATCCATCTATCTATCCCCCACCTTCCTCCCTACCCACCCTCCAAATGTTTTGGTGATTAGAATATGAAGGCCTTTCTGGGCACATTGCCCACTACATCAATGATATGTTATTATGTTTCATGAGGGGAAAAAGAGAGAGAAAAAGAAGAGGGAGGCAGACTGGCAGAGCCTTAGTTGCATGGGACATCAGTCTTTACTTAAAACTAGTTTAGGTGGTGTAGGTCAGCTGTGCAATCCTTGATCCTAAGGGTTATGTTACAGTTTAAATTATTGATGTCACAATCTGATAGCTGATTTATGTCTTTGAAAGAACAAGTCATCGAATATGGTATATGTTAAAATGCTCAACTTTATAGTGGATTCAGGCGACCAATTTTCTGTCTTATGTACAAAGATTTGGCAGATGGATACTTTTACTTTTACTCTATTTCAGTTGTGGGTTTTGCTTTGCTGAATATTAACTAAGACATATTCTTGTATAGAATTTGCAATGTTGCTTGAAAAATATTTGGGATTTTTGCTTGGGTTCCCTATTTGTAGGCTATGCTAGTGAGTTAAACTGGGTGGAGTTATTGAATAATAGAGGGGAAATTATTTTGGTCCTCGAGATGAGAAAATATTTAAATATTAAAAATGGTGACAGGTAAACAGTAAATACTTTTTCTTATTTGACCTAATCATTGGGTAACGTGAAATCTCTGACTTTAGCATGCAGTATATGTTATGAATCTAAGCTGGCGTTTAATATGTACAGGTTTGCAAACATTTCTTAGATGCAGTGGAAAAGAAGCAATATGGTTGGTTTTGGTCTTGTCCAAATGGTGGAAAAGAGTGCCACTACAGACATGCTCTTCCTCCTGGTTATGTTTTGAAATCTCAGATGAAGGCGCTTCTCGATGAAGAGGCTGAAAAAGTTGCCATTGAGGATGAAATTGAAAATCAGGTGATGATCATATTGATTTTGTTGACTTTGCATTTTCATTTTATCCATTTATTTTGTAATAGAATCATAAAGAGGTCGCACTTGGTGCGATGGCAAGTGCCTTCGCCCATGAGCGGTAGGTCTCGGGTTCGAGACTTGGGAGCAGCCTCTCCATAAATGGGGGTAAGGCTAGCCGACATTCACCTCTCCCAGACCCTGCGTAAAGCGGGAGCCTTGTGCACTGGGTACGACCTATTTTGTAATAGAATCATAGAAACCCTTTGTACATTTGTTATATATTGCATCCCTAAGTATTTTTAGCTTTGTTTCCTCTGTTTAATTTTTAATTCTTACTAATGCTCATCTGATGATTGCTGCAGCGCGCAAAAGTAACAACCATTACTCCAATGACCACTGAGTTGTTCATGCAATGGAGGAATAAAAAGACTGAAGAGAAAGAGGCTGGCCTGGCTGCACAACGAGCAGAGAGGGCTAAGAATGACCGCATGAGGTTCTGTACCTTTTATGCTTTCCTTTTTGTGAATGTTCTCTGTATTATGCTATCGACTCAAGCTTTCCTGTATTTCAGTGGTCGTGAGTTGTTTCTATCAGATGCTACCTTGTTTGTGGATGATGCTGAAGCGTATGAAAAATATCAAAGACAAGATCCTGAGGCCACTGAAGAGAAGGTAATGTTTTCTTTTATACTATGAATATATTCGATTTATGGACTGATAGTATGTCACTTTGAAGTCAGTCGCCTTAGTACATCTCTGTGCATCTTTTGGTATTGTGTTGGCTAACTTTTAACTTCCAACATCTCATCGCTGACTTGTGTGAATATTTTTTCTTATCTGTGAGTTTGCTTCCATTTTGGTATTAAGAGAGGTTTCTTTATCTCAAGTCAGCACATTTTTATGCTACCAAAGAAAAGCATTGGCTTATCAAAAGAAATAAGTGTCCATAGAGGCTCTTTTTCTGGTCATTGTGGGCTGGTTTGTTATTTTTTTTGTTTTTGGGTTTGATTGCCTGGAAGGCTGGAAGTTATTATCTTCTATGTGCATCACCTGAGTTTCTTTCTTTTTGAGGGAAAAAGAAAAGGAATTAATCTTTCTTTGTTATCTTGTCTCTAGAATATAAAGTTTGTGCAGTGTAATGTGATAGAAGTTTTAATGCTGGGTTTCTGGCCATTGCATAGGGCGCAGAATGGCCACAATTATAATGATAGTGCTGTGAAAAAATGGGTTAAAAGAGATCATGGAATGTTCTTTTACGTTTGCCAATGACCAAAATGATGTGATTGGAGCTATGCGATAAAATTTCTGTTCTTGACATGATTTGCTTTTCAAATCCTTTTTCTATCTCGTTATGCTTTTTATTTAGTTATGTCTCTCTTTGTTGGTTTTGTTTATAAGTAGATCATGGTCTCAAGGGTTTTTCTGGTGAGATTATAAAATTTTGATTACATGCATCAGGATCCTTTTAAGGGTGTATACCGTGTATGTCTTGTACCTTCTTTGTTCTATGTGTTGCTTGTTCCACGCATCCTCAGTAATTCTAACCATGAACTCTTTAAAGTGAGTGTCTATGACTGGGTAAACTTGTGCTCTAACCCTTAACATGTCTACATGTACTCGCACTCCATTTTAAGTGTTATTTGTTGACATGATATTTCATGCCACAGAGTGCTATTGGTTGGTATTCTTGTGCTTTGGAATTCCATGCACTTAAGTACTAAAGTACGTTTAGCTACTGGTTACTTGAATTCTTTGGCATGAACTTTTTTTTTTCCTCGTCTTTTCTGTTATCAAGGAGGTCAAACTTTAGAGCAAGTCCACCCCTAAAGACTTTGCGTCAGCACCCAGCGCATTTATCTACTCAAGTGAACAGTAATAGACCCCAGTGAATAGTAATAGGCCAAAGCATCTTCATTCCTAAAAATGCGCTGGCACCCAGTCAATCTAATATTATATTATTTTATTCATGTCAATTAATATTTTATCATTTAATTTCTCTCTCTGCTTCCATTTCTTCTCCGGCAGAGCACTTTCTCTCTACCCTCTCTTTTTCCCCCTTTTTCTCCATGTTTTCTTCTTCAAATGCGTTGATGCACCTGAAATGGACCTCCTCCCCCAAAAATGGGAGCTCGCCGTGGAGGTGCTCCACACCAACGGATGGGACCTCGCCGGAGCTCCACCCAAACGTCCGCAGGCACCTCGTTGTCGTCTCCTCACCGGAGCTCGCCATGGAGGTGCTCCACACCCAAGGAGTCGGATCTCGCCGTGGAGGTGTTCCACACCAACGCTCCTCAAAAAATGGACCTCCTCCTCCTTTGCATGACCCGGCTGGCGTCAGCATGAGTCAGATGTACCGGGCAACACCTCAGTCAATTTTGGACTGGGCTAGAGACCGGCTTGAGCTGGGTGCCAGTCAATTGGGTCGGGTGGAGGGGTTTCACAGGGTGCTGGGCAAAATGCCCTCCGCTGGAACTGCTCTTATAAAACTGGTCATTTTAATTTGTTCCCATCTTGTGATCAGGGTTAAATTTTATACGTAATTTATTTCAGTCTTTTTCATTCTTTTCCCTTCATCCATATTAGTTGTTTCAAAAGTCTAGGTGTATCCTGTTGTGAAAGAGTGGCCCCTGTTTGACTTGTAGCGTCTATAGGGAAAACTCTACCGTACATTTAGATAAAAACATGTTCTTTAAAACATGATCATAATAACACACTGTTCACTTATGTTAAAAGAAGTGATGACATCATGAGATTGCATGAGATTGAAGTTTGATATTGATGTGAATACACTAATGGTGAGAAATTCTCAATACCATACGTGAGGTGGTGGTCTTTTCCAAAATAGAAATTTTCATACTTTTTCTTTTAAGATACATCAGTGACACAATAACCGAAAGCTTCGCTTTGGTTATTCTCTTTTCGGTGCACAATTATTTTTATAACTCTGTAGAACTACATCTAGCTCATTACCAAGGAACAAATATTCCAAAACCAGGAGTGATGAATATCCGGGTATCCTCTTGCATCCAGTGCTTTCTATTCTTTTTGATGAAATGTATCCAGTGCTTTCTTGAACTCTTTAAGACTACCTATTTCAAATCAAGTCGGATGGTTCCCGTTTACATGGACAATTCAACAATTTCCCTTATATTATGTGATCCCATTTACATGAACAATTCGACAATTTCATTTATTTTATGTGATCTGAGTTTGACTGTGCTTCATTTCAGGCCAAAGACAACTCAGCAGCAGGAGGGCCAAGCGCCTCGACTAGTGCTGCTGGTTCTGAAGTTCCCGTTAATGATGACATTGAAGATGATGATGATGATGATGAGTTGGACTTTGATGAGTTAAATGAACTCGAAGCAAGTTTGTCAAGAACATCCATTCAGATACGTGAGCCAGGTATAGAGGCATCTTGAAGAGGGGCAGAGAGAGTAACGTTGACAATTTGCTTGTCGGGGGTGGTAAGAGACTATAACGAGAAATGTGAGAGGAAATAATGTGTTATTTATCCTGAGATGCTATCTTTGTGCCAAATTCTTGGTGTTCTGGATGTGACTGGGTATTTTATGCAAGGAAAATTCCAATTTTTGATGCAGATTGCTGTTCAATTAACATTCCGGTTTCGTGCATCTTCTAAATGCATTTTTGCTGAAATCGCAACTTCAGTGAAATGAAAATTCTCTCAACTGTAACATAGAGAGCTGAACACTTTGGGAGAGCCATGTTAAGATTCAAGTCGACACATAAGCTTCATATAGCCCCTCTGAAGTGGGACTCCGGGAGAGGGACGGACTTGCTCCGAGGATGACCCTAGGGCGGTTCTGCAAGGGCAAGCTAAGCCTTGAGAGTTTCACAACAGATTTAAAATTTAGTTCATCACTTGTAAGTGAAAGGTCTTAAATTTGATTCTCGCCAAATGCAAATTTGAACCATATTGTTGCTAGCCTATTGTGAGGCTAAGCCCACCCTCACTCATTTAGTGTAAATAATATCGGTGGTTCAAAAAAAAAAAAAGTTTGTCAAACGCTAGACTGTTTTTTCTCACAGCTGATTTCTCATAAAGCACTTCCAGATTTGATTTTTCTCACAGCACATCAATGCCAAACTAAGTGTTAGAGTTTCACTATAGGTAACACAATTTTGTTTCAATAGGGCGGACTACTCAGTAGTACGAAAAATGAACGGTCATGTTTGAATTGAGAAAATACTATTTTTGCTTATTTGCCAATCTAATAGATTTAAATTCGGACTACTAGATAGTCCGGATTATTAAAGACCTACCCTAGGTAACAAACAACTGGTGGAATGATGATGTTTCTGGAATCAAAATCCTCCTCATTCTCTAATGTTACTTTTGTTTGGTGACTCCTATTTCGATATCTCTGCTATTTGGTGAAGTTATAAAAATATTGGAACCTACACTTATTAAAATAGACAATAGTCCAACATATTGTGTCTTACAAGTTCTATCAGGAATAACGAAACTCTATAGAACTGGCAAGGACTCAGTTTCAATCTTGTTCGATTTCAACCACCAGTAAGACGGCAAGACATGTAATTATGAAGAAACCTTGAATTGAATGGTGGTGACCCCTTTCTGTTTGTAGAGATAAGTGCCAAGGGAGAGTCAAAAGTTCACACGTCCTTGTTCAAAATTGCCTTATATTTCAAAACATATTCTCCCTGAATTTCCATGTGGGAATTTTGATCTTGACCACCACCTCCTCTATATATGTTTCTGTCAAATAAGGAATATGATAGATATTTGGTCCTTTGACAACTCTTTTGGATGGGAAAATCCATTTCCATTTACAATGATGGTAATTGAATGAGGATGTTAAAAAGTGCTTATGCATGATTTGATGAGCTGATTTTTTAATTCTTTTTATAAAAGGAGGACAACTGGTGGCAAATCAAGGTTATCAATATGAATCTGGAGAGGTTATGAAGAATTTCACCTTATCTGTGGCCATAGTCAAGCAGACTCACTAGCTCGGAGCGTTGAACTCGAGATCTCCCACATTTTTTGTTTATTGAGAAGCCGCAGTCCGCGCCCATACCACTGGACTGCTATGGTTGATTTAATGAGCTAATTTAAGCCAATAATAATGGAATTGGATCCTCTCCGAGGCAAACCTTCGGGATCCTCCTGACCAGGGTTAGTAGGCCGTTGGATAAAAATCCAACGGCTACAATTATTATAATTTTTAGAGGACCCCCTATTTGTAACCGTTGGATAAAAATCCAATGGCTTACTAACACCGGTTAGAAGGATCCCGAGGGGTTGCCTCGGAGACTCCAATTCCAATAATAATCTTTTGTGTAATTAGGGCCGCAGGCCATTTGGTGCACTATTTACTTTATGATAATTAAGACCATTTCACATACACCATCATTCACAATGATGATGGTCACCTTTTACCAACATGTGTGGCTTGGGCTTCACGCAAAGCTGTCATCCACTTTTACCTTAGAAAGGAAGAAAATTGGGTTAGGAGGCTAATTTAAAAGACAGGATTTCCGCACTTAAATTTTCTCTTGACATACTATTTCTTTGTTTCTTGAATTGTATTCGATTTATTCAATTTATTGGCTAGAAGAAAATGACAAGAGTGCAAGGAGAGAAAAAAAACTAGTGCGGATGTCAGTTCTCAGTTCAAATAAGATAAGATTAAAGACTAATTCCCAAGATCCATGTTTTAATATGCTCTTAAGAAAGCATACTCCCAAAGCTAGGTGCGGTTCACTAACTAAATGGTAATGTGTTGACCAAATGAGTCCAAGTTTTATACGGGTCCATAATGTTTCACTGGCCATCTTTGCTTTAGGTAGTTTTCTTTCATCCATTTTCCCAAATTAGGACAAAATATATATTATGCATTTGATGTGAAATGTGAACACATGATTCCATCCTTACCAAATCTAATATTTCAGAAGGATTGTTCTTTCTTGCTTTCAAGACCTCATCCTAAAGAAATAATCTTTTTGAAAGTTGAACTTTGAACACCCTTGAACCTCTCTCTCTCTCTCTCTCTCTCTCTCTCTCTCTCTCTCTCTCTCTCTCTCTCTCTCACTTTCATATTTGCAGATGTGTTGGCCACCCTCTAGGGTTAGGGTTAAAGATTGTAAAAAGGTTAGGGTTAAAGATTGCAATTTTTACAAAATGGGAAAAGAAGGAGACTATATCTGAGTTGGTACCAGCCAAAACATTCATCATATAATCCTTTCACTCTCAGCCAAAATAATTAGATTATTATATCACTTAAGCAAGCATTCTAATTTTCTCTAATATTATATTGAAATCCTAATTAATTAATTAAACACTCAAACAAACACCCCACAATTAAATTAATTTATAAAGTTGTGAGATATTGAGTGAGATATTGATGATACAGCCTATGTGTGATCACTGTGATGTAAGATGATAATTATTGAAGTCAAAGAACGAATACAATTTGATGAAGTAAACAATGAATATCCTAAGTGTGATGTACGATGATAATTATTGAAGTCAAACAATGAATACAATTTGATGAAGTAAACAAAGAATATTCTGTCTGTTATCACTTCCAATGTCTGGATAAGTTCGATTCCAATCATCCAAAAAATCCGTTAAAAAAAGCTAAATTAATTAATTAGAATATTGGATGGATATGATTTGGTTGATGAACTGCTTAAAAAATTGTCACACTTCAACAATACATATAATTCTCTGCAGATTCCTGATTTCCTATGCAATTTTTCTTATTTTTCATCAATACGAAATTTTATTCATAATTCAGAGGGATACATCAACAATGTATAACAGATTAAAAGGTCTTCTTCCGGGAGCCGATCGTCAGTCACGAAGGGCCAATACAGATTTGTCGCCAAAAAGCGAGCCAGTTTGGTTAACCACATATTTTAGCACTACTAACGAGTGTGCATGATGCACATAATTTGTTTCTTAATTAGTGAGAACATAAAAGAAGTTAATTAGTTTGATCAAAGATCAAATTGTTTCTTAGATAATTAATTAATTAGTGATAACAACGAGTTGGAATTTTTGTGATCTGGAGCTGTTAGGAAACAGATGTTCATCCACGCAAAATGTTCAGTAAAATTCAGGATTGTAATTGCAGTGCAGAAAGGAAGATCCAGAAAACTGAAGAGAGGTAGCAAAATGGAACTTAATTACTGCCAAGAAAGAGGAAGAGTTACATACTTCTAGCAGAACAACCTGGATAACATAATTACTTCAAAGTTCAAACCCTCAAAATTCAAAGTAAAAAAAAAGAAAAACACCAGAAACAAATAACTTCCCTTAAGTAATTTCTTTCATCATACGGTCACAATCTGCCATCTCTCTCTCTCTCTCTCTCTTCCCCTTTCCCAAAAGCTGGTAGCTTTAATCGTACCCATTAAAAGAGTAGCTTGCAGAAGGTGAGCTTTCCTCTGGAGAATTGGTGTCACAGTTTGCTGCTGATCCTCCTGATGAACATGCTTGATTAGATCTGCCCCCAATCCCAAAGATACCGGCTTTGATACGACCTCTTTTTGGTGGCAAATTGGTCAAGTCCCTCCCTTTTCCTTTCCTCTTCACTGGGTTGCTGCTGCCGCCTTTGGTTTCCATTTTTTTTTTCCTCAGCTGAATTATGGTGGAAAAGAAAGAAATTGAGACAGAAGAGAGGAGTCGCAGAGGGCCAGATGGTAAAGTGAAGTAGAGAGGTCTCCACTGTACTATATATAGAGATATTTTGGGTCCATGATTAGCTTAGTGTCACATGCATGATGATGATGATATATATACACTCATCACAAGTATATTTTTCTTTATAATTATAGACAGTTTAGAGTATCAAATGAAAATTTTGAAGTTCTAATAATCAATCCTTATTCATGAGGAATGAAGGAATCAGTATAATCATTTTTATTTTGCGTTTAAACACATAATATATTATACATATACTCAAACTCAAAATATTATCTATTTCTATTATATATAAAGCCAGAGCCGTACTTTGGGGTCATGGCTTCGATAAAAAGATTTGGACCAAATTGCCCCTCAACCAAAAAAATTCAAAAGCTATCTATTATAATATATCAAATAATGCAGAGGTAATTTGATAATTTAGTCATTATAAAATAAAATATAAATATAAGTGGGATGAGAGAAAATAATAAAAAAATGGAAGAATGAGTGAAAGTTGATGGTGCCCAAGTGAAGGGGAAAGAAAAATATAATAAAAAAATAAGGAAAATTATGAATATTGTGTTCAAAACATTTTAAGAGGCACATAGTGCCGGTGATAAATTAGTAAAGTTTTTTTAAAAAAAAAATAAAATTAGTACCTTTCAATAGGTTAGTAATAATGTGATTCAATCAGATGTTGTGAATAGTGATTTTGGTGTCACCAAGCCGTTCAAAACATCTTAAGAGGCGTTAAAAGAGATCATGGAACATTCTTTTACGTTTGCAAATGACCAAAATGATGTGATTGGATCTATGCAATAAAATTTCTGTTCTTGATGTGATTTGCTTTTCAAATCATTTTTCTATGTCGTTATGCTTTTTATTTAGTTATGTCTCTCTTTGTTGGTTTTGTTTATAAGTAGATCATGGTCTCAAGGGTTTTTCTGGTGAGATTATAAAATATTGATTACATGCTTCAGGATCCTTTTAAGGGTATACCGTGTATGTCTTATTCCTTCTTTGTTCTATGTGTTGTTTGTTCCATGCATCCTCAGTAATTCTAACTATTAACTCTTTAAAGTGAGCGTCTGTGATTGGGTAAACTTGTGCTCTAACCCTTAACATGTCTACTTGTACTTACACTCCATTTTAAGTGTTATTTGTTGACATGATATTTCATGCCACAGAGTGCTATTGGTTGGTATTCTTGTGCTTTGGAATTTCATACACTTAAGAGCAATTCCA